TATAATTTGCTTCATTTTCACGATTTGATTTATTTATATGTTTCATGTGTAGCCTACTTAAAATATTTGTGTTTATTTATTTTACGCGTTAGATAGATAGAAAAGTAAACAATACAATCGAATGTCCCAAAAAAGTATTTAATTTTCTAGTGAATTTTAAATGATTGTGTTAAGCAATGCACGGTCTACTTCAAATAGTAACATTCGTCCAAACAATAGGTAACTTTTGTTTCCCTTAAATTGTTTATCATCTATCCTTTGTGTTTAGCTGGTTTGATCTCGCAATATAAACAAATTTAAAGTTTTAGGCAGGTATTTATTTATTTACTGTAATCCATAAACCATTATACAATAGGCCTACGTACACAGATGTCAATCCACAAACAAGTCGTACGGTCACTATAAAAACATTCAGTTGAATTCTTAGCACTTTTCCTTTTTGATTTTGGGGAAAACAACAACTTTAACTACGTGACCAGACTATACCAACTATCAAAACCTCCGCCAAGTGTTAAACACCTATGAGTTCTAATCACACAAAAGGAACCCGAGTAGTAACTTCGCCGTTTACTGATTCAGAAATATAACCAGTAAAACAGTCCAATTACACTTTTTTTTCACAAACAACACTCGCGTATTGTTATTCAGCGCGTAGGTTGGCGGCACTGTGTGATGGGGGAGGGGTTTCAAAGCGGACAAAAGCTGGGGCAATTAAATCCAACAAGCATAAGCTAATTGTCGTCGTTCGAAATTACTCCAAACCCGGGCATAATCGAGTCAGCCCTCACCCCACGCCGTGACGAATAGCGTTATCTCTTAAAATGATAATAGACTAGAGACTGTTGTAGGGTGGCACCGCTGTACAAGGGTTGTGTCCTGTACAAACAATATCAGTGATGCAACTTGGGGGAGATTAGTGAAAATAGTTTGATTGTAAGAAATATATTTATGTTGAATTGTTTTGGTGTTGTTTGCTGAGGTTTTAAGCATTAAGAATTTAATTTTTAGATTATTTTTTTAAGATGCCGTCACACATAGCCATCTCGTCACACCATTGGGGTGTATTTTTACGGTAAAGCAAAAAAAGGGTTGAATGTATGAGACAACAGCTAGATCACGGCTGCTTTTAATCACTATTTGAATTGGCGATACTGTATTGAAATTTCACAATAATATAGGCAAGGGACCTGCCTCAGGATCAAAATAGGAACATTCTGATTTTTTATAACGTTAAACATCAACAAATAAATTACCCTACTATTTATAGATAGTTAATAGTAACAAATAGTTTGGATTACAGAATTACAGGGTATGGGTCAGTTTTGATTGTCGAGTCAAATCTGAATATCACTAGTTCGATTCTAGACGAGATCGGAAGGACCCAGATTCCATTATGTGATTTTATAAATTTTTTTTTACTATGCTCATAAAACATGACTAAACCGAGTCGCGTTTTTTATCCTTGTTAAAAAACGTAAACAATGCAAAAAGCGTAGGTGTTTACAAAAAAATCTTTCTTACAGAAACAGAACACTTTTATCATTTTACCCGAGTTCAATTTCCGACTGAACATTCAAACACTCGACCTGTAACCTGATGACGAAGTGAAAGCTGCAGAATCAATAATGGAAGGTTGAGAACAGTTTCTGGTTGGTTTAGAAGAGGTTGTGGCTGTCTGTAACAATTTGGCTTGGCAAGCGCCCCAAATGGAGCTGTTCCCGGGGGACTGGCGCTAGTAACGCGGTTAAATCGCTCAAACGCACCACTCCGGCTGTGATCTCAGATATCGATATATCGCATCGCATCCAACGATCAGCCTGGCTAAACACCGGTGATAGCATTGCTCTTTGAACTTTCGCCAAGATGTTAGACGGATTTTGTTTTGATCATGCGAGCGCAAATGGCTTGTGTAGGTGGAAGTTTACAATAGCAAAAGTTCAAATAATTAACGATATATATAACATAAATCTTTTATGCTTTATTGTTGAAAAGTTTGCAGGTTCATGATTTATGTGTATTGCATCGTTACATTTAAATACCTAATCGAAAGAAGTATTATTGGCTGCAATTATTTGCAAGAACATGCTGTATTGTACTGTATACGCTTTATGAAGTGGATAGCTTTTAGTTAGTTATAAATGTTTATAGTTAGATAAAATTTTATTTGTATTTGACTTTGCTAATGCCATTTTTTTAAATCTAGCCAGAACACGAATTGATGGATTATTGATCACTATACGTTTTAGTTATTGAACTACTAGATCATTGTTTTTTTTTCTTACGTCCGTAGGAAAGTAATATTTTCACAGATTGTTCAACTGGTCTTTCTAGAAAACGATTTCGCCGGATCTTGGTACAGTATAATTTTGTTAAGCTTATGAAAACTGTAACATAAATCTCTGAATAGGCCTAATGCAAATGCATTGAAGATGTATAGTGAAAATGAAATCCCTATACATGTGTATATGTAGTAGGCCTACATATTAAAATTTTCTATATGCCCTACATTATACTCATAACATTGAATCTCAAAGGGTTTGATACACAAGGCACATTTTACCTACAACAAATAGTAAAACGATAGTTTTAACTATTTAACTAGTTTAATATTTATACATTAGAGAGTAATATTAGAGTAACTAATATTTTTAAATATCTCCACATATCTCCTATTTAAAACAAGTGCTCTGCCCCCAACATTCACATTGAAATAACATGGTAAATGATATTTTTCAAAAATCCCATTCATATTTGACAAACCAATTGTAAATCGAGTAAACCACACCTAATTGAATTACAGTATTAGCAGTTAATTTTCATATAAACTCATCCTATTACACAAGAACCGATCAATAATAACATATGTGTTTAATATGTTATATAAACACACAAACTGTTTATAGACAAAGGGTAATCTAAACGGAACGCCACAAGGCTCCGTACTGGAGCCGCCGTTGTCAACTTCGCTCTCTCTCTTTCTCTCTGCTCCATTGTTTATTTATCTCCTGTATTTGCCGCCATGTTGCCCCGCCCCCTCCCACCCCACTGCTCTCTCTGTCGCACCCATGTACTAATCCAATCACAACATTTGACGACATATCACATAAGCCGTTATGTCACCTTTTCTCTTCTAATATTCTCTGTCGGCGACAAAGCTGCTTGTATTATTGTCGTTGACGATGGGATTTCTCGCTTTATTAATTTCCGGGCTGTTACTTCTTATTGTTGTTTCCTCCGTCGTTTTGTACTGAATTGATTCTGAAGCGTTATTGGCCAAGTCTTTTGTCTGGAGGTGTAACAAATGTAGGAGATGGATTTCCTTATAATTTGAGAACTAACTTTGTAGATTACATTGTATCCAGGTTTCAATAATCATTTTAAATCAGTATAAATATAGGCTGTTCAATTTAATGAACTAATAAATTTAAACTTTATGATAACATTTTTAATAATAATTTTACATAGCAATCGAATGTGGTTTTCACTATGCATTGGTGCTCTCACGATTACTAATCAATTGAATCGTCATAATACAATCAATATAATCCCAAATATTCTGAAGACTTGTTAGTAATTTACATAATATTAATACTGTACACAAAGTCATGTGCAACTTTTGAACTTGTAACACCATCTAATATCACACATTGTTGAATAAGACAACTGCTAAGTAGTAGAATTTTTATTTAAATGTTTAACCATAATTGGAAAAACTAAAATTTGTCACCCCTAAAAATATTCTTCATATTTGGAAACCATAATACAAAATAACACTACAAACATGAAACTACTCATCCAGCAGCTTTAAGTAATTGTGCTAGTAAGAAAATAAAATCACGAACATATTAAAAACCAATTAGATTTTTCAACGATAAAACATCACAACATGTAAACCCCCAATAACATCGTTAACACCTCAGAACAAACACAATCGTGATTTTCTCTGCAAAACAATCACACGGCGAGTAAGGGAACAATTTCAGGTAATTTCCATTTTTGATCGCTCCGAGAGCGGATACATTCGCAAATTGTTGTTTTTTCAACAAAAGTTCTCGTATTGACCGGCCCCCTCCCCCTCCCCCACTGATGGACCTAAAAGCTTCTCAAACTGATTCACTTTACGGACTCAATCCCAATCTTGTTTCGCTCTCCCTTTGTAGACATGCTCGATATTCAGACAGTTTTATAGTCATGTATAAACGCGCCGAGGCGCCCGTCCCCCCCTTGGGCTTTGTAGACGCCAAATTCTCCGCGCCCATTGTCGAGAAGACCACTTTTCTCCAAAGCTTTGGAAAACATTCCAATTTGCATATTTGAAAGTTTTCAAACACTCTTGGGATTTCTTGAGAATTTTATCGGGGCAAATCTGCGATGTGGTTTCTCAGTGTAATCATACGGTATTGTTATTTCAATAAATATATATGTCGTGATTGTTAATGTTTTTATTTTCTAAAACGTCGATAGAATCCATAATTATTTGATGCATTTATTGTTAAAGTGTTTAATTTTTAATGTTAGTATGTACCAACAATCAATTGTTTAACGATTCGCAAGTTAAGAGATGGTTATTATTTGCTCAGATATATTGTTATAAGTCTAAACCTCAAAATAATCCAACAGTTAGGTCTACTAAAAAAGGAAAAAAGTATTCCCATGAAATATGTATAAGAAAACAGTATGTATCCACACAGCATGTTAAGAAAACTGTGAATGCAAGTTTGAATAATACGCCGGATAGTCATTGCTTTTTCAAGTGCGGTCAACTGCATCCAGTATCTTTATCTTATCACTAACATAACCTAACTTATTCACCTATGTTACTAACTCATACCAGAACAATTACTTCCCTATCTTTACATTATCGTAGAGATCAGCAGTTCCATGGCAAAGGCAATAATTAACATGACAAATATCAATTTGAAAGTGAAATGTACTGTTTTACAGTTTTTCTGTATCTGGATTTTGGAATACTTGTTCACCCTTGGTTCGCCGTGTTACAGGTCACAAAGACGACGTCCAGGACGGCTCTAGAGGCTCCAGTCACTCAGGGCTGAGCAAGAAGCAACGCAAGGCGAGGACGGCGTTCACAGACCATCAGCTGCAGACGCTGGAAAAGAGCTTCGAAAGACAGAAATACCTGAGTGTACAAGACCGCATGGAACTGGCGGCCAAGCTGAGTCTGTCCGACACCCAGGTCAAGACCTGGTACCAGAACAGGAGGTAGGTCATAGAGAAGTCATAGAGCTGTAGCAGTAGGACAAATATTGTAGAGGAAGGAATAATAGGGAGTAGGTTTGATGGGTAAATAGTTTCTAAGGGGAGTTATAAGCAAAGTTAAAACTGTCCTACAACCAGGTACCACCTGGTAGGTCTGGTACCAGAACAGAGGAGACAGGTCTGCGGATACTTCAGTAGTATGAGTAGGATACCTTGGTTACGGAAGGAAAGAAAGTCGAGTGAATAATTTTAAGTTTTGTAGTATTGTAAGTTATTAAGTAGAGAAGAATTGAATGTCAATGGGGTAAACCTATACGCGCAAGATTTCTTCCATGATTTGTGGCGATTTAAAGGATCCAGTTAACATGTTTTCCTATAAGTCATGTGTGCATCCTCAGCTTTTCTTTCTCACAAAACATAGGTAATTTCTAACCCCTCGCAGCTATATGTACTTAAAAATAGCAGAACTACAGTAGATAACTACAATAATACTCCTTATTATGATCAGTATACTTATATGAACTACTACATAACTAGCTCACAGGTAATTATCAATTCTGAAGGATCACAAATCCTAATCTGTTCGTTAGATTCAATATATTTGACATGAACCATTGACTTTGCTTGAACCAAGCTAGACTGCCGAGTATCGTGTTGCTTATTCGTCCCCGCCTCACTACCACTGGCCGTCGTCGTTTCTTGGCTCATCGACTACCAGCTTATTTGCAATTACAAATGAGTGCTCACTTTCCCTCTCTTTCACACTTCATTAAACCTTCAAATGATTCTTCCAAGGATTTCTCTTACACGTACTTTTAATTTGTACTGGTATCTTCGCAGAATCGTATCCTGTTCACTGGAAGATTAACTTTTTAATCTGTTGACTGTGTATTTTATCACGGATAGATTAAATTGAAAGTTAATATCACATATTAAAGCGACTCTTAGTGCATTATTAGCGACGATACTTAAGTTAACTCCACGAAAGACTGTACTTATAAATGCTCCCTCACACATTGCTTTTAAATTAGTGTCATTTCCGCTTTTTGCTGTTATCACATGTAATAATTGTGCTTCATACACGCGAGGTTCACATCATGCAAGTCACCGTTTACCCTGTATCACTGTGTGTATTAGCTTGTTTACGTGTGAATATCCTCAGCAACATTTGTAGAGTGATCACTAGTGGCAGAGTAGATCATGTCACTGCACCACAGAAAATCTTACTATACAATTGAACAAGTTGATGCACACTACTTTTCAGATTTGGTTGAGGTGAAAATAATGTTTTAACCAAGCCAAGGAGATAAAACTGAACCATAGACTAGTATGTTTTATCAATGATTAAACCCAACATACTACAGAAGTTAACTAGTGCATTTTAAAATTTGTCTGAGCCATTATGAAGCCACTACACCTTTGACAAGGAGAGTTTTTCCTTGCAGAGTTGAAAAAAGAAAAAAAGTGCTTAGAACAAGAGTATAATTTTGAGAAGGAAAACTACCATTGCGATACATGTTCAAGGCATCGTTTGATATTTGTTCAACCAACTAATTTGAGTATGTGTTGAAGTTTTCCAGCAACCTGAAGTTTTCTTTTAAACTGTACCCCTCCAACACGAATTCAGAGTAGGCCAGGCCCATAACACCCCTTTGAAATGACGAGTTTCGTATTACTGTGGGAGCAAACTCTCAAGCAGACAAGTGGAAAGCTTTGTCCTCGTCCACAGCCACACAGTAGTGCACATGGTACAATGAAGGCGTAGCGGAGATGATTATCCATTTTTCCTCTTCTGTGAACAAACAATGCAGAGTGCGTTGACTCCAAACAAAACACCGGCAGTTTTCTCCTCCATGCATGACAGTAGTGTCACTTGAACCTGTGGAGGGAAGAGTAAATATTGTTTCAACAAACAGTAACAACCGGTTTCCAACCGCCAAAGTGATTTTAATGAACTAATAAATTTAAACTTTATGATAACATTTAAATCATAAAAAAACACATAAAAAAACAGGATTGTTATTTTTGTGGCAGTACAATTTCAATATTTCCAAAAGGAACTGGTAGAGGGCTTGAAACAATTATTAACTGACGTCGAACTCTACATAAAATATAACTTCTATTTGCGAACAAACCGAGAACCGCAATAAAACAAGTCCATGCGATGAAAATAAGGAGATGATCGTCAATTAGGAGATTCCCCCAGGCTGCGGCTACTGGGGCTATAATTGCAGTTTATGAAAGCGGCAGAGTCGGTCGGACGCTGTCATTGGTCCTTAGTGGCAATCAGCTGAGACATTAAAGCCAATCAAACTCCAGCGTTTACGCGGGAATAATTGCCAGCTGTAGTTGCAGTCAAACGCCGCACCCTCTTGCAACTGTCCTCGCGCCTTGAGCTAAGAAACTGGTTTGAAGATTTCTCCTCTCTTGATTGGATCCTCTGACTGCCAGCTATACTAATTACTTGATTTGAACGATTTATGTCTTGATTTCTCTGTTTCTAGATATTAACAGCATACATTTTTGCCAATACGATTTTGCATGGATATTAGTGTCTATTCCTCTAAATTGAGATGGACGGTTGGTTCCGTGCTGATGAAGTATTCTGATGAACACCTTTTTTGCACTCTATGCAAGACCAGGAATTGGAAAGACTGCATCTAAAATTTGAGTAATTAGTGGCAGGACAGTGCAATTGCAACACCCAACACTCTTGATATCCTTTGGCCGTACTGTGGCAACACGGCTATTCTCCATAGGCATCCTGAGGTCGGCCGCAGGCGCGCTGTGACAATGTGGCCGATCGGGTGTGTAATAGCGGCCTCAAACAGACTAGCCCGTGGACAATCGATTGTGCCAGCAATTAATCGAAGTCATCTTGCCTAAACAGAGGCCGGCCTTGGGTATAATGACATCCTGCGCGACATCATTCCACGCTTCCGACCAAATTACTCCGCTTATCGGATATTACAGCTTTACCCACTCATTCTAACCTAGAACATCAAAATTACATCAAAGGTTACGTTTGGAAATGCAAAACAGCTTCGACTTGCATCATCTGAATGTTTATTTTGTTAAAGATATACAACGAATGCTACACAAATCTATTGAAAAGTAATTGCCTAATCTACAACAGTTTGTGTCATTCCTCCTATTACACTTACCAAGCCATCATGTGTTTTTTACATCAACTGAATTTAATGTATGAGGTTAAAAGTTATTGTTCATCAGATGAGATAATGAAGACTCGAGTTCTGTAAAGGGATGATGAAACATAAGATTGCTATCCTCTGTTCCCAGGAAATTGTCTCGTTACGTTTTGTCAGATAGAGACACGCGAAGTCAAACGAACCCTCTTCAGATTTTCCCACTCAAAATTCTTAATACCTGAGGAACAGAACCCCACTCTTAAAAAAATCCCTGCTTTATTCTGTTTATGTATGTTGCTGTCTATTTGAAATTAATCTCTAAAAATCATTTAAAAAAAGCATCTAAGAGCATTTGATCTTATACACCGTAGCCACCTGTGTAAGCATACAATATATGTCTTGTGTAAGGGTAAAACATGTGGCTACACCTACACCATATTTTTTTCACTGATGTTTTTGAATGTATTGCTGGGATATACCGAGCCAGACCAATCCAAAATCGATTAGAAAATCGGTGTTACACATTGCACATAATATTTTTCACATATTTTCGTTACATATTCACTTTTTCCATCAACTAAGGCAGTGTTGTAGTAACTCCACATATCCAAATTTCCTGATAGCCCGGGTGTGAACGTGAGGGTATATCCAAGAGCGGTGAACCGACAAACTGTACATTCAATAATGAAAAATAGTGACTCAGCGTCGGCCTGGGAAGTGGTCCCTAATTCGCCACATTGTTCTTGCACTTCACACTTCACACACTGTGTTTGGCTACATCGCTCGCGCCTGATGCGGTGATCATTAATATGCTTGCGTCCAGGGGAGCTTACCGCCTTCGTGGGAAAAGTGACAACATACACAAATATTGTGATCAACGAAAAATGAATTAACCAAATTTTAATGATGATTTCAGTGACAAGACGTGTAAAAACCTGGACTAATCGATATTTCTCGATTTCTTTCTTGGAAATTGTAATATGTATGAATGAAATTTGACTTGGGCTTGTGAAAAATATTCTCAGTAATGTTTTTAGCAATATGGCAAAGAATAATGATATTGTTGTTGATAAAGCATTGTACAGCACAGCCTTTCTTCGAATACACGTATTCTGTCGTTTAATTATTGGGAGTGCATGGTAAATTACTTCGAACATTCGATTGAAACTTATGTTAATTGCAATCATTTTCGTCCAGTTTAGATTTAATTGAATGATCTTAGAAAGTGGCTCAGAATTTATTACCTCAATGAAACTAGAAAAGTTTATGTAGTATATTAATTAAACTGTGAAGATCCTACATTTAATTATCCCATTACATCTTGAATCCTGGAGCAGCAGATTGTTTTCCAAATATTCGTTACTCTAAAATATACAAAAAAGTTAATTACAAAATTATATTTAACAGCTTTAAAGTAGTTATAAGTTAACAGAATACTAAAGTTCTTCACTCTTGAGTCATGGATATTCTAAATATTGAGCTTGAATTGCAAAATTTAACATTACTCGACGTGTTAAGATTAAATTAATACTCCTAGTCGCACACACATCCACGCTTAACCTACTGTAACTAAAATAGACACCATTTAGAGGCATCTTCTTAAAAGTAGTATTCTCCGTTCTTGTAGACTTTTCATACTGCAAATACGATTAATCACAGTAGCATCCCTAATTCTCAGGAAGCACCGGCTCACTTAGCCGCGCCAACGGATACACATTAATATCGATTTTCTTCTTGACCGAATCAATTTAGTTGTGGGTATTCAAATGGGACATTTACAGCGTTGTGTGATATATAGGAGTCATTAGAGGGGTCGGAGCTTTCCGCGTGAGTGGGTCCATAGACTCGGCCAGCTCCACGACGAATCTTACCCCTCCATCAAACTCTTTCACATTCAAAACAGCAACAGCAGCTCCTGCGGTGAAGTCAATGTCATGGCTTGTACACACGATGTTGCTCAAGTTAGCTAATGAATCAGCTGATCTTAGTCACAAAACTGTCAACGTTCATTCAACTCTCGGCCACCAGGTGTGTCGGCTTCGTAAACAGTAGAATATAAAAATGCAGGTACGAAGAAGTAGTTTGATTGAAATAGTTATCAGTTGAAGACCGAACTAAATAAGACAGTTTCATTGAAATTTTGGAAGAACTGGCTATCGTCTAGAAGTAAAATAAATTATTTTACATAAAGTAATGGACTTGATAGCGTATCAAGTGTCAGGATTCATAAACTCAAAAGTTTACAAATACCGTTTTGTTTACGTTTTCGTAGCCTGGTATGCCTGTGAAAATTTAATTTGATATTTTTTTGTCTAGATGATTTGATTTATGGATAAGCTGGTAGTCTTTTAAAACGAATGTTATCCTCGTAGCAAACGATTGGGCCAAACAGTTCTTTGCTAGGGCTAACTTAGTGTTAAGCATGATATTCTTTAATTTGTGTTTTCATTGTAACCTCAATATAAACTTAACGACAAATAAACAGGCAATTAAACAACCCTTAATCAGCCCTTACAGTCAACACTCGCTGTGTAACTCCAAGTCATATCTTATTGTCCTCGCACTCAATCGGCCAAACAATAGGGTATTACAAGTGTTTTGAAAGAATTCCATTCTTCCATCTTGATTACCGGCTTGCCCCTCAAGACGAAATTCTTTTGACGAGTCTTGCATTGATATAAATTTAATACCCGTCTGGTCCTTTGTTCGAGATGTAGATGGCTTTAAATGTCAATGTGAACAAATGAGGTGTTCAGAGTAGTGTAAATGCCACCCTACCTGGGAAATACTGTTAAAATGTACCCGCGTATTCTGTAATAAAAATGAACCCCCTTACTGCATCCGTTTTAATTTTGTTAACGGTATTGATTTCTTTATATTAGATGATGTGACAGAGTGTAATATGAAAGAATATTGTATTAACTTAGTTCCTTCTTGGTTAGGGTTACCCATGAATCTTCTGGACAAACAATTAATCAAATGAACTTTCAAGTGACGGAAGTACGAAGAATCTTGAACTAAGCCAAATCATGCTAGCTATAAAGATTCATGAATCTTCTTGACAAAATCTACTTAAATGAACTTTCTAGTGGCAAACGTATGACGAATTCGTGCCAAGTTGAGTCTTGCTTTGGCTAAAAACAACTTAAACTGCGTTACAACTTTATAAAATCCCCGCACACTCTGGACGACGGACACCACTCCACTGATGAGCACTCGCTGACGGGGCGACACGTCCCGCCATTTGTCACGCGTGTTTTGCCGCGGTCGCGCCGCGTGGCCTCTAAAATAAATAATTACAGTTTAAGCTGGACAGCAAAAAGAGCGTGGCATGTTCCATCGGCCAGGACGTTGTCTCCTGTGGTCGCCGGACAATTAATCCAAGAGATGAGAGAAGATTGCCGCCGCGCCGTCCTACCACTGATGTGTCTATTACCACTAATGCTCCCATTAATTAACGATAGCCATTGCTGTAATGACCCGAGCGTTATTAGATTCCTGTTGACTTTTAGATTCATTTCAGCAGAGTTGGCCACCGGTAGTGTGGTATTTGAGTGCTGTACTATAAGTACACGGCGATGATTACGCTGTTCTCCTTATACCCCACCTGCCTTCTTTTGACAATCTTCATGAAATTAAAATGTAATGAAATATTGTGAAATACGATGTATGAGATAACAACAACTTCATTGGGATTACAACATATTATATGTATTCTAAAAGTATTGCTCAAGCATTAAAGTACGGGTACACAGAGGTTGTAGAGGAACAAACAACTAGGTACTGGTGGTTGGAAATCCTAAATATCTAACTTGCCCAGTAGTGAACAGTAGAGTGACGTGACCTCTAGCCGTCAATGTCACTATACAGTACATATATGAAGTAATGAATATATTACTGCATCTATGCTATATAGTACTCTCAATATACCAGTATTGGCTAACTTGACGGAAAGTGAGCTAATGGCCGGTACTTGCTGCCAATTCTAGCCAACCGGCCTCGTCCTACAAACTGTATTGACAAAAGGTACACGAATCGTAGTAGTTAACATTTCTCGTCCAATAATGTACATCTGACTATTGCTCTCGACTCATGGGTGGTATTGTTTGTTACAGAACGAAGTGGAAGCGTCAGACAGCGGTGGGTCTGGAACTACTCGCTGAGGCTGGTAACTACGCGGCGTTCCAGAGGTTATACGGCGGACCTCCCTACTGCTGGCCATACCCTGCGCCTGGGGGTGGTGCCGCCCCCACGGCTGCCGACCTGTACTACCGCCAAGCCGCCGTCGCCGCCGCCGCCGTCACCGCCACTACACTCCAGAAGCCGCTGGCCTACCGTCTCTACCCCGGAGTCGCGGGGCCTTCCCATCTGCCGCCTCCGCCGGGCCTACCCACCGCCCCCGCCTACTACCATCCTCTGCCTCCGCGCTCCCCCAGCCCTGACCCCCGCTCCCCCACGCGGTCACACAGTCCTCAGAGTGTAGATGTGGAGGACGACTCCCCGGACTCGCCCCATGTCGACGTCTAACGCAGAGCGGGAGTTGAACTCAAGTGGTCACAAGTTTGGTCTTTGGAAGTTCTAGTGATGTGTTGTAAATTTCATTTTAAAATCAAACTAATAGTGAAAAGTCTATTAAATTTGCGAAATTTGAGATAAACTATGACAAACACATGCTAATTTAAACTGAACTTTTAGCCAATTAAAATTAATTATAATTTAAACATAATCCAACATAAAGAGAATATTTAATGAGTAGGAAAGTGAAAGAGTGTTTAAGGACTTCCAAGGCCCAAGCAGCATGATCTGCACCCTCGGACTCTATTTAGTGTCTCGTCGATGTTAGCTTTATACGACTCGTGTCTACCAGTTCGATCTTAACTTTGTAATATACAGTCTTCGACCGCCACATGTACAAGTTTAACTTCTATGTGTATATTTTGTTTGTTAATCGCTTTTGTTATTTATATATAGTGTTTTATGGAATGTAAGTGGACAGCTTTCAAAGACTATAAATTAATTAGAAAGTAATATATTGTTCCGCGGGACTTTATTTGTAATATAGTTTTAAATTAGGTTAAGCGAATTCAAAATAAGTAAATACTCAGAGGATCGATTTCCTCATGTGATATTAAAAGTTTTACTTAGACGTAAGAAACCTGTGCAAATAGGAGCGAACAGTGTGAAAAAGGGTACAGGAAATGCTAAAATACATAAATCTCAAGTACAGCCTACCTCTTAATACCTCTTGTTGGTATTTCCACTGTAATTACGATAACACTGTATCCCACAACTATTAGTTGAAGAACTCAGTGGCATGGACTTAGTGCAAATCTAGAATTGTTAATATTGTAAAGAATTGATCTTATTTTTCGGTGGCACGATTTAAATTAACCGTCAATAAACAAGAAATTAACTTAAATGCATCAGGCTTAGAATATTATCGTACATTTTAGGTTCAGTATCAAATGTATTCATCAATAAAAATAAAAGAAATCTGCCATTCAAATCAGCTTTAGGCCCTGAACAGTGTAAGCAAGCATTAGATGTTTGTTGCTGGCAGAAAGTGCACCAATTCAGAAATGTTGTTTTCCCAGATAAAATCTTTGTTTTTGACTACACGTTTACCATAGGCATACTGCTTTAGTTTTGTAAGTTTGATTTCACTTTCTGAGCGCCACCGAAAATGTGTATATTATATTTCGAGCTCGTTCTAGTTCGACCGGCTTCAGTGTACAAACAGGGGCCACCCCTCCATGCGGCTATTTATCTTAATTGAACACTACTGTAGATTCTAACTGCAGCGCAGTTTGTAATTCATATGTTCTCAGTAATTTTATTTTAAACAAAAACAATAAATATTCATATTGTTATAAGCCTACTTTACACAAAATTGAGTAATTTGGGACTAAAAAAAGGGATATTTTCTAAGACAATATTTCTTACACAATATTTTCTGTTTGAAAAAAAAATATATAAGACGATCATAATTTTTGAGATTTAACAAACTAAATAACTTTTCAATTAGCATGACTGGTATTTGACTTAGTAAATCTCCAAGCACTTTCCTGGGATTTCAAATGTAATATTGGACTGAATTTTTAATTAAAAGAAACTACAATCCAAAAATAAAATATATCCAAGGTATGAATTGACCTTATTTTTTCTAATTCTGTTTAGGGTTAAACATTGTTTTATTTGTGAGTTTTTAATTTCTAGCGCGGAAGGGGTGGCATCGCGCAGTATTATTAGCCTAGATGCATGTCTGTATAGCGTTAGGTAAGTTAGTCATAAGTGAGCTTTGTAAATAGACATGTTAATATTCCTAACAAATACAACAAATTATGTGAGACTTGTCTTATCAGTTTTATCAACCCTCGTGAGAATCTTGCTACAAGTCCCTGATTAATATAATGTGCGTCTATTACGCACGACCGCACGCACACGCACCGACTCGCGCGCGTGGCTTTCCCTCATTAACCAACTCATACATACATATTCATGGCGTATCACTGATTGTCATTTAATACCCACGTTCGTTTACAATTCCCTGTTTTCCCACTCTGCTGTGTTAATTTGGCGAAACGATGGAAACAGTTTTGAAACTATTTCCCAATTTCTCCCCGTGTTTGAGATGATATCATGAAAATCATGCAACGTTTGGTTTTCTGATTAGTGAAATGAGAGAATGGGAAAATGGAACGTAAAGTAAATTAGTCGCAATCGTTCATTAACTTTAGAAAAGAAAGAATAAAGTGAAATTCCTCGGGGCTCTGCCCCAATTGCCTTTAACGTTCCCTCCCCATTTTATTCTTATAAAAAAGTTGCCTAAATCCACATTATTTCACTACATTATTATAATCTAAGTTTAGCATCAGGAAACAAATTTCGCTTAAGTAGCATTTTAAAGAGATTGGGAAAATATGCCTATACAGATTATGTGCATATAATTACCTACATATATTGATTGAATCTCCCCCATACGTAAAAACTAAAAACAATTTAAAGGCATGAACAACTTCTTCAGTTAATATATAACTAACAGTAGTATTTCGGTTCAATAGAAATTCTATAATATTATACATACTAAAGGTAGTCCAGTGGTCGAAAACTCGACCAAAAATATGTACAGTAATATACAGATTTCTCTATTTTCACCCTGGGATTTCTTCCAATTGTTTTGATTTTATGTTTATATTGCCTTGTTATTTCATCACCTAAAACCCATAAGGTCCATGTAAATTTTTTAAATTTTAAACTCAATTTTTGTGCTTATTTTTTAGCCTATTTTTATGAAGGGATTCTGTACATCTAAAGGAAAATATCATTCTAACAGTATGCATAGATTTTTCCTGCGATACACACGAGCTGAGATATAAGGTTTTAAAGAAACATGCTTGCCTATATAGATTGGTTGGTTTTCATACAACTAAGTTCTGAACAAATAAGCTGCAATTTTCTCAAACGAAGTCGTGGAATTCCCTTACAAAAATGGTAAAAGGCGAAACGTAATCAATGGATGTGTAAATGGTAAAAAATCTAAGATGTAATCCAAACATAATGGGGCAACATTATGTCAAATGGGGCACATGGTAAATTATGCACAGTTGTTAATTTTGTTAGAAGATTAAAGCTGAATTATAGATTTAAAACCAATTCGTCCACTAACAGAAAAACTCTTTTTCAGGTAAAGATTGTAGGCCCTAATTAAATTTTCATAAAATAACCAAACAAAAATTGCTTGAATAAATGAAATACCGTACCTATTTACATGTGATTCAAATGTGAGTACTTTTTTCGAAGCGAGCTGGCTCTTTGGAAAGGCCTAGTGCAAACTATGTAATTAAATCATGCAATAACGACTGAACATATTGAAGCCAACCTTACCAGGGCTATTTCGACAAACAGTAGGAATTTTATTCAACAAACAAATTTCAATTTGACAATGTCTGTACAATTTATAACATAATTCTTTTCAATCTTTCACATTAGCCTTATGGTTATTATGGTTACGAGATAACAACGTAGACGTAAACAAAGAATCATAGCACAAGCTTCTTAGCAAACTAATATAGATCTAAATACAGTAACAAGGAAAAAATAGCTTACTCCCTGTATGGGAAATTCGCTAAAAATAGCTTATTCCCTGTATGGGAAATTCGCTAACATTCTGGTGGACACAGTTAATACAGAAAGTATTACAGGGTATTAGGGAAATAGGTTCAGTATTTTACAGATTTGTTCATGAAAAAAACTGATTTTATTTAAAATGTTATTTTGACATATTTTGGTTCTCCATTAAGTTCTATATCCACACAACATAAAATATAAGACCGTACGATTTTTATTTACCTTTAATAAATAGTTAAAGTTAATAATGTATGGCGATTTTTTTCAACCTTTGTTTGTTTTGTTTTGTGTATTTTAGTAATACAATTTGACGAAAATATAGTAATTCATTAATAGTTATTTCATCTATATAAAATCTAGTTATTCCATACAGAAAAACTATATTTAATTGTATATTGGTATCTTATATTGGCTGTTTATTTATTTTGAAAGAGCGGGGGCCACAGCTGCTTTTCTAACAAGGTCACAGCTGATTCTGTGGATCCCCGAAAGTTGTATTTTTTACCCTTGGACACAGGCTTCTAGAAGAGTTAGAGATGATTTTTTGTTTATTTTGTTCAAAATTTTCAATCCTATGATCCGTAGGATGGGTTTGAAAAAAATCCTAATAAAACATATTTTAATAATATTTTTTTGATTGTTTTCTACATAAAACCTAGTTATACATAAAAAATGTTATAGGACCATTAATTAATTGTTGTATTCAAACAAACCCCATCCTACATATCACAAAGCATACTTTAAAAAACGCTTGGGAAAAAATTTATCAATTATCTTTTATGGGTTTCAATCTGTACATGATCTAGTAAACCCTTGTAAAACGTGAAAAACCACTCCACCCTCTCAGGGGTGAAAAAATATCAACCCATTTTCTTCGTTTCTATGGTTACAGGTAATATCCAAAAAGTTTCAATTTTTTTGCTAGTAAAAAAAGATTTTTAATTATTTATAAACTCTCCCCTTAATCTAAAACGTTAGAACGAGACAAATGATTCAAATAGGTTATTTTAAATTACTAGCAAACTGTCAAACCAATGTTTATCCACAGCGACGAATAGTCTATTAGAAGAAACTATGTTTTACTATTGACTGGAAATAGTTACTGCTTTTGAAACATGATTTATGCTGGAAATCTGTGCTTGTGTCGATTAAATTGTTTACGTATAACAAATATTATTGTTCCCCATTAATGGGAATCATAGCACGTGTTTAAAATCAGCTGTTTGAACTGAATAGCTGCAAAACTATTTAAGGCTATTATTATCTTTTAAGCCTTTTGAATAATCTTTGAACCTCTCCTCAGCATACATCATACACAAATTTGCCGATAAGTAAAATTACCTCCTTCCTTATTTCAAGCCTTATTCGCATATTATTACAATTTGGAATTGCATTGGACCCACTTTGTACAACGTGCAAACCTAACCTAACCTAACCTATTCTTTATTCAAGTAACT